TAGTTTGAAATTTGCATGAAATGTAGAATATGCTGGGATACGCACACGAAATTAATATGTCAGAACATCCACACATTAAAGGCAAGCGTAATGAGACCTCACAGCATTACACGTTTATTCTTGGTTTTTTCCATTCGAAGTTTTGCACAAGATGGATAAATTTTGTATACCACCACTTCTCAGAATTCGATCAGAGGAGATTTGTAACCTATCATGACTGTGGACTCTAGAACTGCACAACTACTGTTTGTATTTGAGATCCACTGACTGCTAATGAGAATCGGTAATCAACGGGTCCAGAAGGGACTCACAGAGCGACATGCGGGATCTCGGTGGCAATAACTCACCAATATCCAAAATGACAAACTTGTCCCCATTGCTGTTAAGAGATCCACCACCACTAAAACTGCTATGCCATGAAAGAAGTGTACAGCTAGTTTGAAATTTGCATGAAATGTAGAATATGCTGGGATACGCACACGAAATTAATATGTCAGAACATCCACACATTAAAGGCAAGCGTAATGAGACCTCACAGCATTACACGTTTATTCTTGGTTTTTTCCATTCGAAGTTTTGCACAAGATGGATAAATTTTGTATACCACCACTTCTCAGAATTCGATCAGAGGAGATTTGTAACCTATCATGACTGTGGACTCTAGAACTGCACAACTACTGTTTGTATTTGAGATCCACTGACTGCTAATGAGAATCGGTAATCAACGGGTCCAGAAGGGACTCACAGAGCGACATGCGGGATCTCGGTGGCAATAACTCACCAATATCCAAAATGACAAACTTGTCCCCATTGCTGTTAAGAGATCGTACTGCCACATCATTGTTCAAGAACCTGTATCTCCAGTTCTCTCACCAGCTGAAAATGTCTGGTAAATGATTGCTGACAAACTGGAACAAGATACCTGCCAGCTACTTTGAACTGTCATAGAAATGATGAAGCCCCATGGACTGCAATACCCATAATTAAGTCTATTCAAGTCTATGCCCAACTAGAGGTTTAGTAAATAGTAAGTAGATTTTATGTCAAGCAGCATAAGTTGAAATGAGCATTAAAATCATAATCAGCATGATTCATAACAAAAGACTGGCTATTGTCACTGCTTCTGCTCGCCTATAGAGATATCTGCTAATCAGAACAAACCTGAAAGGCCTGATGTAGGCACAGTTAGCAAATTTTGAAAGTTAGCTGACCTCTGTCTGACACTGTTAGTGTCATAGCTTCATGTAGAGTTCCAGGGGTTGTAACTCAGTTAATATACTTTAAGGTTCTATTAAGCCACTAAAGCATTAGTGGTGATAAGTTGTCTCACTAGATGCAAAGAATAAGTTTCACATGAATTTTTATATTTTTGTGTTTTACCTTGTGACCACGGTAAAGGTTGAGCCCGGCGCCAAATTTGCTGTCCTTTCTGTTCAGCCGGCGGCAATACTGCGATCAAGAGGTGCAATATTGCTGACTTAAATTATACAAAAAGGATGGAGATGCACATAAAGTCCGAAAGTATCATTCGAAATGTTATGATGACAATTCAAAACTATTTGGATGCAAGATAGCCAAAAATGTTACCAAAATAGTTGTTTCGTATTGTAATATGTGTAAGCCAGATTTTTGTTTAGAATGTTTCAATAAATAAAGGTTTAAATAAGCTTCTTATTCAAAAAGAACTTGGAACATATAGGCCTGTTCTTATGCTAACAAAATCAATTACAGTTTGTGGTGATATAATCAAACAAGAAGAGTCAAATTCAAACTAAAAATATGGACTAGTGGTCAAAGACTATACAATTTAATTTCAATTTAATCTGGTTCAGTAACTCTTTTGTCATAATAAACTTAAATGTCAGCAGCAGTAATAGAGACTAATAATTACAAATTATCAGAGCTGACACAACTAATGCAGGGAGCAAGTGGAGGTCAGAAACACACTCGTCTTACACTCCAAAAACGTTTATTTTATTACATTTTTCTGCAATCTTTTAGAATCGCGGGTCTATAAATTTGCGTTAAAATCTTTCAAAGCTTCAATGTCTAAAATCCTAAAGAAAAATCACCCCTTTGAATTCTGCAACAGCAAAAAGACAAAAATGTTTTTTAAAAAATCGGCGGGAAAAAGTGGGAACTTAATTTTATAGAGAAAACTGATGCATTTTCTGAGAATTGGGAAAAATTCTTACCATGAAAAAATTAAAAGATATTTTTAATTAATTACATAGTTTACTTTGCTTTCGCTTAAAACTGTTTTGTAAACTGTGCTTTATAGCATTATTCCTTGCTTATTTTTTTCAGATTCAAAAAATTGTATAATATGTGGCCAAAATGAAACTTTATAATATGACAGCGAAAAAAAAAAAGCTTTATTTTAATGTTATTTCTTAAATATAACTCCAATATATTACCATTATTTTAATGAAATTTAACAATGTTAGAATGTTCTAAAAAAATCGTCAAAAAATTCCTAGATCTCGGAATTAAAAATTTTCTATAGAAACTGATCTTAAAATTACCAAATTTCGAACCATTTAATAAAAGAATTTACATCCCCAAAAGCGGAAAGTTCTTTGACAGCTCTTCATTACAAAAAAAATGAAATAATTTTGAAATGCTTACGTTTCACTTCTTGCTCAGAAACTCAAGTATCCCACCATTATTTATACAGTCAAAAGTCATTAATTCGGACACCCATAATCCGGACCTCAAAGTTAAAAACTTTCTGCGCATGCGCCGTGTTGACACATGCGCATAGGCGTTTACGTGTGCACGTAAGACCTTTACAACGGCGCATATGCGTGTGCGCAGAATACATTTTCGCGTGTGCGTTTAATGTATAACGGACGGTATAAGCTAAAATTATCTAATTATCTATTTCAGTTAATGTTGATGATTGCGTTGTTCCTTAATCTTCAAAGTGGATCCGGCTTATTAATTTTTGCAGACTGTAAGAGCAATTTTATAAAAGTAAACTTGAACTTTCGATTATGTCAAATAAAATTTCCGATGCTGGAGCTCCCAAAGGATCTACAAAACGAAAGTATGTTTCGATGTCCATCAAACAAAAAGTGGAATTGCTGCAAAAAAATGGATAAAGACATGAAGAAGGTAACAGAGGTTAGTGAAAATGAAAAAATTTCGATTGACAAGTTAGTCGGTATTCTCGGCACAGCAATTACAGGGCTTGAACAGCAGAACTTTGTAACTGAACAAGAAATTATGTCTGTTTATAGAATTAAAGAGAAAGTATTATCACATAAAACGAAGCAACTTAAACATTTTACATTGAAAGAAATGTTTAATAAAGTAAACAAATAAATATTAAGCTTTTTTTTTTTGTAAATTTTGATACCTTTTAGATCATAATTGTTCTTTATTTCATAAATTACGGTTTCATATTTTTAATTTTAGAATTTCTGCATGCCATCTTACGAGATTTAAACTGATGATCTATAATCTGGAATCGCTGAAGTCCCGACGAGTCCGGATTAACGACTTTTGAGTGTATTACAAAAAGGAACAAATTATAACTCATGAACCCATTCAAAAAATAGCCATATTTGTCATGCCATTTTTCCCTTAGGCAGATAGCCCTACTGTGCTTTGCCATAATCAACGAAACTAAAGTGATCCATAGCCAATTCATATATCAACTCTGGCATCATTATGCAATGCTTCAATGAATCTTAATTTCAGTGGATATCTTCTCAATATTCTATTATGCTAAACTAAAATTCAGTGGCATAACAGCCCTAATGGGGCAAGGTCTGCAGAGCCCAAGATCTGCTTTCTTGACCGTGAGCCCCGGGGTACGTAAGCATATGCCCTGAACAAGTGGTCAGCTTGGGTCGCAAAACCCCCAGTGTTTAGTCCCCAAGCGAACTTGGTACTCATTTTATCGACCCAAGTGATGGAAATAAAGGTATGAAGTCGACCTTGCCCAGCCCGGGAATTGAACCTTGGACCTGTGGTGTTGCTGCACGATGCACTAGCCACTGTGCCACTGGGTGTCATTCCATTATGCAACATTAGAAACTTTTATGACCACAGTATTTTATTATTATGAAAGATAATTCAAGCACACTAAAGTAGAGACTGCAATAATTTGTACAGTTCAAAATAAACAGAATATGTGTATATGTGTGTGAAGTACCACTTTTTTAAAAACACATACTTCCTTGAATATTTTTATAAAGAATGCTAATCTGACTAAGAAATCCTCACGAAATCCAAATAATGACCAAATTTTTTGATAGAAAATATTATTTTAATAAAGAATGAAAAGACATGCATGGTAGTGAATAAAGCAAAAAACCATTTTTAAGGATTGAGATTTGACCAGTTGAAGAGAAGATTCAACAAAACACACAATTCAATAAAATCACTTAAGCTGTAATACTTTTTTTATGTATTACTGTGATTGTATCTTCTTTTGTAATAACTTTGTATATGCTAAAGAATGAAAATACAAACTAAAGCAAATGTAAATAACAGACCACAGAAACAGTTAAATGTGTGAAAAATGTTAGTAGTTTTTCTTATCTTGTTATTTATGTGAATATAATGTTCGTTCTTACAATTTATATGCAGAACAATTGGCTTCTGCACTTTTAAAACAGTTACAGAGATGTTCAATTTAAAAAAGGGAATGTAAGTGTGTGTGTGAGAGTGATTATGGCAAAGCCTCGAGGGCTATCTGCCTAAAACGAGGAATGCCTTCGTTATGGACTTTCTAAGGGAAACTGGCTCGTATACACGCTGCACATGGGGAAAACCACAAAAACGCCCATGCAGCCAGCCTATTCGTCGGATTCGAACCTCGGGCCAAACTACCAGTGTTCAGCGACTTTACCGTTCGGCCGCTGGTGGGCTCTAAAAAAGGGAATGAAAAAGATATGAATGAATAATAGGTTGATTGATTTAGCAATTAAAATATGTGTAAACACACTATCATTTTGGGAAATTTTAATGTAATAAATGGACAAAAACCATAAACATATATTACATAATTTATTTCATAAAATATAAAAATTAATAATTTAACTAAGTTGCAGGATTTAGAGTCAACAATCCCAGCATGCCTTGCACAGACTTCATCTGGGGATCATCACATACATGGTCCTGAAGAAAAGGAAAGAGAATTATCAATAAAACACAGTATATGAATTATTAAGTTTACATATTTGTTAATATAACAAATTTTGCTACTTTTCGGTTAATAAGATGCTAGCTGTAACTGTGTGCCAAATGTGTTAACATGTTTATTACACCTCAAGAATAGTTATATAACAATGTTGTTACAAATACACAGGAAGAGAATGAACATCAATCCTGTAATTATCTCACCAACATTATTGGCTGCATTTTAATTGTTGCGCTGACTTTCCCCACTGAGAAAGAAGCAGTGTCCATTACGTGATTCGGCAAATGATAAATGATGAAGAATTGTGACAGGGAAATGTATCATCTATGTAAATACACTTTGCTTAAAAAAACAGAAAATGAAACTGTATTTTAATAAAATGATAGAGTAGTGAAATGGCAATGCAATGAAAGACTGTGTTGCAAAAACAAATGTTTACACAGCACATGCTGGTTCGAAGGTTGTGCATTCTCTTCCAGATAGCTATTTAATATATTTACTTCAGGTGCGAAGAGTTCATATTGGCAGAATTTTATCTATTGCAAATTGGAACAAAACACTGTACAGCTATAGTTCAACTGCCTCATCCAAGACCATGATTGCAAACACACATGCACCATTCAGACTGAATTATTCTAAAAATAGGGTAGAAGAATGGGGAGTTTCTTTTCACAGAAGAGAAGACTTTCATGTCGCAACAAGTAATAATGCCCCTTTTGGACGAGACTGTGTATTTTGGCAGAATGCCTGCCAAGGTTGCATTTGAGATGGTCGAACTATACTTGTTAAAATAAATAAATATATGCATTCATATTTGTGAGTTTTTGTATTTGTCTTTGTATTTTGCATTTATTTTGTATTTAATAAAATAGCATTTTTTCATAAGCTATGAATAGTACAAAGTCTGAAATTCGGACATCCAGGATTGAGAATGATGTATTTAAACCTCCAAACCACCAGCAAAAAATATATATAAATACAGTACGTTCAAAATTCAGAATCGTCGGGCTTCAGGGATTCCTGCCAGCAGGTGTTTGAAAGTGGCATTCAGAAATCTCATCTAGTCAGGATAAAATCACATTTACAGCACACCTATTACAATCTCTGTTCCTAAACTTTATAAGGGTAGGAGTGATATTTTTATTATTTTATTTGTTTATTTTGGTTGGCGGCCCAGACATTAAACCATTCTGGATATTGTAAATCCAGATTTTGGATTTTGAAATTGTACACATTTTTTCTTTTTTAAAAAACTTCCCCTTTAAAGGTTTAAGAATGGAGAATATAATAATACTCAAGAAAATGGAAGTTTACCTGAAAAGTGATTTTTGAAATATTTTAATACAGAATCTATAGTATGGAGCATTGCAAGGTTTATGGTAGTACATGTCTTCAGATATTTTTAAAAATACTTGACATAATTTTATGCCCAGTTATCAGATTTTTTGTCATGGTGATGACAAAATCATATCTGAAGGTTTTTTTTTTTCCAATTAATGGAATTGAGTGAAGACATGATAATAAATAAAGATGAGACAACGGAAGTTTCACAAACAGTGCGACAATCGTCAACTAATAAACAGTGAAATGTTAAGTACAATTTTTAAATGCAGAAAATATCGCTACTATTAGTGAAGAAAGTGGCAAAAAGGTTGCCAAGAATGAAGAGTGTTCAACTGACAGTTTGGTGGACAATTTTGACACAGCAAGACCTGAACAACAGAAAATTTAGTAAGTGAACAAGAAATTGTGTCTGTATACAATTAAAGTACTTTAGCACAAGAAAGCAAAACAGCTTACACTGAAAGGAATGCTTAATAAAATAAATAAATATATATTTATCTTTTTTTTATTTTGATTACTTAAAATCATCCATGTTTCCTTATTTAATAAACAACTATTCAATATTTTTAATTTCAAAATTTCTACATTTTACTAGATTTAAATTGATGATCTAAAATCTGGAAATCCAGCAGCGCCAATGTCCTAATTAATTCTGGATCTCCGATTTTATATTGTATAACATTAGAATTTCCATTCCTATCTCTAATTAGATTTCATTCCAACATTTACATTTGGTGCCAAATAGTGCTCTGTTAACCAGAAAATATTTAGATCTTTGAACTCTCTCATGTCAACTTCTCTGTATAAATAAATTACTATTATTTATGAATACCTCGTATCTGGCACTGATCTTGAGCCCTGCCCAAGCAGCGAACTTGAGATTTTCTTTCTTCTTCAGAGCAGAACATTTCGGTGATGCTGCAACATTACTTGCAGACTGAAAATTTTAAATATATTTTCAGAAACGGGGTAAATATTATCAAACAAAAACAAGCAAAGAATTAAAGTAAGCCTTCAACAATAATTCCAACTAAAATTACTTTTATAGTAAGACGACCGCACAACAGAATGTATATAACATAATTACATAAATGCAGAATATAAGGTCTATGCATGCATAGACAATGGATTAATAAATAACTTCAATACAGAATAATTCACACATAATTCTCTCTAAGATTGTTTTTATTTACCCTCATTAAAAAAGCTCATCATTAAAACAGATTACATTAAATATCACTAAATATTTAATATAATTTATTTTATGGCAGGTGAGTTGATTCTTAGATTTTATTTACATAATGACTTACTTTAGACATTGGCTTCATTTATTAATAACCGTTAACCCAGGTTTTGGATCTTTGAAAGCAGAAAAGAATGATACTATTGCAAAACATTTTCAAAATGTAATATTAGTTCAATCTTTTGAATAGAAAAGATGACTGAAAAACTTATAATTTCTCTAATTTTCCATTATTAAATGGAAAACCTTCACTGACTATGCATAACAAACTAGTACAAATTATGTACGAAAAATTGAATACCTTCTATGCATTTATTAAAAAACACCACTACAGAAAAATTGGTTTATAATGAATCTCCACAAACAACTTTTTATCCCATCCCAGTTTCCTATTCACTTGAAGTTATGTATGACTACAGTTAGTGCCCCAATGTATGAAAATCTGTTATAACAAACATTATAGCCATCTTCCTCTAAAAAGATTTTATAAATATTAAAACAGAAATTTCTAACCTTTAAAGCCATCCACATTTAGAATGCTAGGATCCATATTCCTTCAATGTCAAGATAGTGGAAAAATCTCTGCTTTTTATTTATTTATATCATCAGCCCCATTCTTCCCACCATCATATCTAAACAAAGATCATGCAAGGCAGGTGCAACACCCAAGATTCTAAGAATTTTGAGTCCTGTTTACCATTAAAAACGAATGTAACACCCCAAAAAATCTACCAATGGAACTCATTAATTTACTCAGTGATGTAAATCTTAATCAAGCATTTGAAGATACAGATTTGATTAACCTTTTTTCAGACTTTCCAAAAGATAAATGCCCTCAATTACGAATTTTTGCAAAATGAGTAACCATTTTGTTTCGGGTTGCATTTAAATGTGAACAATTTTATTCAGTCTAAAACTTTCTCCTATTTTGAAAGTTTTCATAACTTGTTTAGTTTTAATTTAAGTAAATTATTCAGTAATTAATTCCATACATTGGAATTATGTGAAAGAAATGTCAGTCTCAAAATTTAATATTTAGTTTACAATACCTTTAAATTAAAAAACAACAAATTTCTTGCAGATATCAACCTTTAAGATTTCAGGAAAAAATAAATATAAATTAGACTTTTTCTCTTTGCCTAATTATTATTAGTGCTTATATATGTTTTGAAAAATATTTAATAAATAAAATTTTTAATTTAGTTAAAAAATTTGTTGTTAAAAAAGTCTCATTTTGAGGGGGGGGAGTTCAACCTATCAGCTGCATATATCGTGCTTTGGGCATGCACGCAATTAGAGTTTGAAACCCATTGTTTATGGTATCAAATGGCAATAAGCCAATGAAATTAATGGAAATGGAAGAGCAAGTTTTGACTAGATTTGAAGCAGCTCCTTCCACAAATATGCGAGCGGTGGCATATGAAATGGGTATTGCAGCCAGTTGTGTGGCGTATTTTACACGAGGAATGCATGCACTCTTACCATGTGCAAAAAATGCAATCTTTGGATGCACATAATTATCCTTGCCAGGCAGACTTTGTGCAGTGGATACTTGGAATGAAGAATAACGATCCACGATTTCCTCCTGCATTAGTATTATTTAGCGATGAGGCAACATTTAGCAGAGAAAGTATTTTCAACGTGCCCAATCAACATGTTTGGTCAGCCAGCAATCCCCACTGCACTATCCATCATAAACACCAGCAGACATTTTCGAATTACCAGACAAAGTTATAAAGGCAAATGCTATGATAGAAAGTGTGAAATTTTTGTTATGCAGGAAAAGTAAAAATAGCAAATAAGTCTTATGAACTTATGGCAATTAAGGTGTTTTGTCCTATAAGAAATGGAAATTTGTTAGTTCAGTCCAATGGATCATATATGTCCTGAAAAGTATCCAATGGATATTTCCAGGTACGGAATAAATGATGGCTCTAGTCCTGTGAAGACAATTTATTTACTACAGAAGTCGAGGCTGTCTAAATCTTGATCTAACCAAAAGGCTGGGGATGGTCAGTCCCAGTCAACCCCCATGGATGATCATCCAAACAGTTAGCCTAGGCGAAGCTGGTTATGACGAGGGCCACAAGGATGCCTATGTCGGATTAGGACAGAAGAGGCTATGTGGTGCACATCGCAGCCTTGAAGCTATGGTCTAGATCAAACCCTGGGTCTCCTCCCATAAAATGGTCGGTTCCAGAAATCCGATCCCTCCCGACCTCGAAAAAGCACAACTAATTAGACAATGAATGGGACATATTAACCCCTTAACTGCCGCGGAAAACGTACAAGATTCATTTCCCAGTGCCACGGTTTTTCACACAGGCGCGCACAGTTATGCGTTGTATTAGGGGGGAAATAAGTGCAAGTTTTACTTTCTAAAAACTGTTTACTTTCACAAAATAAAGAATAAAAGAAAAAAATGAATGCACAAAATTTGAGTAAAAGTATAATAAAAAGGTGTAAATATAATAAAAATGAGGGTTTTATAATAAAAAAAGTCCCTAAATGGAGTTTCGATCAATTCATTTTTAGACCAGTAAAGTCTAATATCAGGTTTCAGTGTTATACCTTGGGAAATCAAGTATGCCTAAAAAAACATATTTCTTCTGAACTGGTTGAATGCCATGATTTTGTTCTTGATTTTTTGTTTGCAAGGTGTTAGTTCATATACTCGTCTACAAAACAGTTAGTTTCAGTAACAATATGAAGCACGAGCAGTTCAAAAAATAATTCAAAAAAGATAAATGGGTTTGAAACATCCGTTATATCTTTCTTTATTCCTGGAACCTACTACAAAAAGTAAACGAAAATGGAGGACACAGGACAACAAAAAAAAAAAAAAAAAAAAAAAAAAAACCCCGTTTTACTCAAACAACACTAGCCAATATACCGCGCAGTCATTACTTTCACCGCTTTAGACACACCTCTCTCTCCAATTTCTCTCCCCACACTTCTCGAAATAGTATTTTCCTTCGCATATTTTGTCAAGGTCATTGTGGTGTTTGCATTCCAAAGCTTTGCGAATAATTTTAGGTGTAGCAGTAGCAGCGCAAAGCAAATGATAGCAGTTTGGAAGGACGTATATATACGCCTGGGGCAGTTAACGCATCGGCTGAGCAAGGCGTATATATACGCCCGTGGCAGTTAAGGGGTTAATGATAAAATGTTTTTCCTTTTTCACTTTTCCTTCCTTTCTTTTCAGAAAAGCAAAACTTCATACATTCATTGAACTAACTTTCATAACTCATTGTTGAACATTTTCTGTATCAAAAATTCATTCAAAGGACAAGTTGTATTAAGTTAAAGATGGCATTTAGCACTGTTGGAAAAACAAAGAGTGAGTATAACCAAATTAATATCTGCAGGAATGCATTACTACTGGAGGCATTTAATATACTAGCCGAGATTTGTATCCTGATAGTCTTGTCTTCGGAAAGGGGACTAAATAAAACACCAAAATTTGCAGAATATGTAAGACTACCTCAAAATAGCCCTTCATGAGTCTATGAGGTAGGCAGGCCATCTTTTCAGGGCACTATGTTGGAAATAAAGTTAATCTAAATCTGCGCTTGATACCATGTGGAAAGTCTGAGACTGGATAATTTCTGTGAATGGACGAAATCTGGATAGCTCAGTCTAATGGAAATTTGTTCTGTTACCTACGGATCAACCAGAGATATTGAAGAATAATTGATGAAATGATTAATTACCATTCAAAGAAACTGAAATCTGTCAATGTTTCACATAAAGGCCAATGAATTTACCAAACATTTAGGAGAACCTGACTTTTTGCACTCAAATAGCTAACTGGATAGTTTAAGAAGTAGAACAACACTTCTTCAAGAAAAATTATCACAGAATCAACAAACATTTCACAATTAGATGCTGTGAAATGGAAAGAAAAAGAATATTTTTGTGAAATGGAAAGAAAAAGACTTTTATGAGTACAAAGAAAGCACATTTTTTTTTTTTTTAACAGAAATAAAACTGGGCTATTTTACGAGATGATGCTAAAGTAAATGTTAAAATTTAAAGACCAAAGATAAACAGGCAGGAAAGTTAAAACCGCCTTTCCCCCTCAAACATGTTGACCTAATAAAAATAAATAAAATAATCATTGCAATTTACCATTTTATAAATGAATTTCAAATGTTTTAATCTGGATATTTAAACAATTATTTTTAGGAATGTATATACAGACCTGTGAAGATATACGCAAATATTATGAAAGAAGATTATTGCAGCCATACAAGGCTCAATAGACATATAAAGGAAATATTTTAATATATTAGTAATTTGGTAATATGAAAAATTAACAAAATATAAATCAATATTAATATGCAGTAAATAAAAAATCAATTCTTCCCTCTGATTTTCTCAATTACTTTACTCTGTTGCCATTTGCAATACATTAATCATGCTCGTACACAACACAAAGAAACATAGCATTTTTGAAATTTCACAAGAATTATGGATCATAGTTGAGTATTATAGCTGAACTCCTATGTTTCTTGTTCCACCATTTTAAAGATTCCCATGCCAGCTCGATATATTGCATAATGAACTCCAAAATGTGGAAATTAGAATACTGACAGTTACTCGGCAACATATTCTAATCTTGTAAGAAACTAATTCACTTGATAAAATCCCATAGATCTAAAATCAAGTTACAAACTAAAAAAACTCTGTTCTTAAAACTGTTCTTTATAGGCATTCATAAAACTTAGCAACATCATATGGTTGCAAGAGTGATTAATTTGTGCTATAATGCCAAAGTTTGTAACTACTTGTTCTTTTTTGGCAAATTTCGGCTTTAATATACATTGTTTTCAAATATATTACAAAAAGCACTGAATAATAGTTTATGTTTGACAAAATTCACTACTACATAGGAATACACAGGATACTTCCATTGCACAGTATTAATACTCAAGAAAAATATAAACATACATCCAAAAACAGACATAACAACCCATATATTTTAGAAATTCTGAGATTATATCATTTTACATTTCTTACTTCTTCTTAAATGGTCAAATAAATCCCTACTTCTTGAACCCATTACAGGAAAATAATTATTAAAATAAAAAGATATCTGTGGCACTTACCAATAAGAAACCATACAAAGATCGCATATTTCGAGGATTCAATTTAATTGATTGTGCAAAATAAGCTCTTGCCAATTCCATATTCTCAAATCCCCCAATTGTATACTGGATCTGAAAACAGAAAATTATACATTTAAAGATAATTATAAAAGAAAATGCCTATTTTAAAATACTCTAAAAATGAATCAACTACATAATTATAATTAGTCTACTCTTACAATTTTCCTTTAAATAAAATGGGCTTATGAAGTAACAAAAAATTTGAAAATAAAATTACAATTATTAAATATTTTGAAAAAGACAAAATAATGTAGCACATTTCTGAATACATCTTTACTGGGCAAACAAATTAGACAAAAATATAGCAGAATTCTGAAGTAGACATGAATGAAAAGTAGACATAATTAAACTACAGATATCCATAATAATATTATTTCTTTAACAGAAACCTACATTCCAACATAAATACAAAATAATAATATTATCATAACATTTAAAATCTTACGTTTGCTAGTTCTCTGTAACTTACTGTTGTGTCTGCTACTACATAACATAGGCCTCAAATCAGAGAAAAAGAATATATAGCCAACTCGGTGAAATCATATACTGAATATCAGTTTATGTTTCCTTTGCTGTGATGGGCCATTTTTTTTAATGGTCTGGCATAAATTTCAACAGGTATAAGGGAAAGATTCAGTGTGACCTTCCCAGATTCATTCATTCTGACTAAATGGTCACACATAGTTTGCAAGGGCTTGCCTTTGTTAGTAAGACAAAAACAGTCATTACCCTACATGAATCCATTTTAAAATTTAAGGAAGCTCACTCTCTACACACATTGAATGCAAGAAAATATGGCAATTACATAGAAAAACATTACATCAGTATAGGGGGGAAACATAATAGCAAGATAAAATATTTTTTGAGGAAGTAAAGAACACTGTTTTTTTTTTAATGCAAAGAATTTTTTTAAAAATTAATACAGTACGAAGTCTGTAATCCGGACGTCCATTATCCGGAATGATCTATAACTCGGACCTCAAAGGCCACAAACTTTTTTTTTTATGCTTTACGCATGCCCATAATGCGTTTACGCATGCGCGTTTAATGTATAATGGACAGTATAACCAAGGCTGAAATTATCTTTAGTGATTCTAAGGCATTTCAGTTAATGTTACAGATTGCACTGTTCCATAATCTTCTAATTGGATCCAGATTATTATTTTTTGCAGATTGTTAGAGCAATTTTATAAAAATTAAGCTTGAACTTTCGATTATGTCAAAAAGAGTTTCGAATTCTGGAGCTGCCAAAGGATCTACAAAGCGAAAGCATGTTTCGATGTCCATAAAACAAAAAGTGGAATTGTTGCAAAAAATGGATAAAGGCATGTCCCTAAAGAGTCCATATTATGCGAGGAGTACTAAATTGGAAAGTCAACTGTATATGACATAAGCAAAAAGAAAAAGGAACTTTTTTAATTTTTTGCGGATTCCGACACCCCACTTGCAATGAATAACAGGAAAAGGGTTCCTTATGCTAAAAGTGACGATCATGACAAAGTGATGATTGAATGGATCAGACAGCGACGCAGCGAGGGCGTGCCATTGATGGGTCCAATGCTAACTGCTCAAGCCAAAATATTTCATGAAGAAATGAACTTAAACACTGAGTGCACATATTCGACAGGTTGGTTAACCAAATTTTAAAATCGCCATGGTATAAGACAATTAAAAATTTCAGGTGAAAAAGCTTCAGCTGATACTGAAGCTGCTGAACAATTTGCAGAGAAATTCATTGAACTCATTAGTAGTGAACAATTATCTCCAGAACAAATTTACAATGCTGATGAAACTGGTCTGTTCTAGCAATACGTACCGCAAAATACCGTGGCAACCTCTACAGAAAAAGCTCCAAATGGTGTCAAAGATTCCAAAGCAAGACTAACAATTTTAACGGGCGCAAATGCTGCAGGAATGCACAAGTGCTTTTCGTAATCGGAAAACGTGCACGACCTCGAGCATTTAAAGGAGTAACAATTTTTCACGTTATATATTGTGCAAATAAAAGAGCATGGATGACACAAGCATTAATGAATGAATGGTTTGAAAATCAATTTATACCCGAGAATCGGCAATACAGTCAAAAGATTTTAATCTGGACTCATCGGGACTTTGGCGATTCCAGATTATAGATCATCAGTTTAAATCTGGTAAGATGGCATGCAGAAATTAAAAATATGAAACCGTAATTTATGAAATAAAGAGCAATTATGATCTAAGGGTATCAAAATTTACAAAAAAACAAAAAAAAAAAAAAAAAAAAAAGCTTTATATTTATTTGTTTATTTTATTAAACATTTCTTTCAACGCGTGCATACATTACGTATAGTTGAAATTAGAAAATTGCAACCAGAAAACTATTTGATGTGTATTCGTGATATTAATAATGACGAGGAATTTGATTTAAATCATATAAAAGACGGAGTACATCGAGATGAAATACTACATTTAGTACGGAATTATAAGCTGAATAAAAGGAAAACATCTGCCCTGAAGATAAGGATAGTGCTGACAGATCAACTTTCAGTTCATTCCATCTTACCAGATTTAAATTGATGATCTATAATCTGGAAAAAACCCTAAAGAGTCCATATTATGAACTTTGTATTGTAGTCGATACAGCCATCAAATTATTTTTTATTAGTAATGCTCTAAAATTAGAAACAAAAAAAATAAATATGTTGTTTACATAAACCCTGATAATAAGGATATTTCTAAATTATATCTCTATGCTAATTCTGCTCAGGAATTAAAGTTTTGCATTTACTGGAAAGAAATCTCTCTCCTGCTCCATCTGTATTTCCTTACACTGCTATTCACTTTTAAAACCAGAGAAATCTTTACAAGTGCTGTTTTTAAGAATCTATCTCTGTTGCCACTGTAAAAATGACTGCTTGTTGCACAGAATCAACTACAAGATGCATTTAGGTTGGAATGCAACACATGAAAAATTGTCGACAAATAAATTATTGAAACATACCAAAATATTTCAAAGCAAATTACATGCATAAAATCAAAATTTATTTTAAAAGACAGCAGAATATGAATTGAAAAGTAAGGATTTATCTAAGGCAGAAGCTATACAGAGATTCACAGTGTGTGTTTACTATAAAAAGAAATTATTGAAAGGAATACAATAAATACTGAATAAGTGACATAAATTCACTTCTTTCATCCAAATTTATTATCAATACACTGGATTTTTTATTAAAAACATTTTTTCATATTAAATTTGTCATGATGAAATTTCTGAAAATTGAAATATTGTTGTTTATATTAAAAGCTAAGCACGGATTGCAAGCATTCGAAGATTAAATGGTCTCAGATAGTTGAAATTCTACTATACTAGTAACTATTCTACTACTATACTAAGCCATTAGTACAATTTTTTGCTTTCTATATCCACAATTATACAAATTTTTCCACTCCTCATCCCACCCCAGTATCGGCCAGTGACTTTCGGTTGTACCAAGTTTAGAAATTTTGAAATTGAAAACAAATAATATTTTAATAAAGTGAAAATTTTCTCAAAAATAAATTATAATGTGGATTTACAAAGTAATATGAACATTTAAATCTTAAAAGTACTCAACCTACCTATAATTTAGTGTAATTTGCAATGTAAAATTATTTAATTCTACTAGAAAATTGGAGTTTATTACATAAAAATAAACAGTTTTAAAAAGTTTGGAATATGAAGTTATGAAACAAAAATGCATTTATATGTACACATACAAACACTAAAATGCTGTTCTCATGTCAGCTATAGGAATTTTCTTTTAATGAATTGAAGCTATTTAATCACCTATTCCATTAGTAAGGAAAGAAAAAGAAGGGAAGGGTAAAATAACATATATTTAACAGCTTTCCACATGATTTTTTCAACAAAATCGTGTTTTACAATACAACAGGTCCATCTATGCACAAGTCTGCACAACATCTTTCAGAAAAAAGGGGGAAAAAATTTTTTTCAATGTGCCAAGTCCAGGCCATAAGCTGGATGACTCAATACCTAATATTACACAACATATACAGGGTGTCTATAACTTCCAAAGTCAGACTAGTAGTAATATTTCCTGAGTTTATTCATTGATGGTGTTATGTGTCATAATTGATGTTATATGCACTTTTGTGGTTCGGCATTAAAATAATGGAGATGTACAACTATGCTGAAAAAGCGAAATGTTATCTTTGGTTCCATGAAACTAATTCTGTTTTACAAGTAAGATAAAATTTTGTTCAAGAATACAAAACAATAGCCCGAACAGGGACACTACTATAACACGGTATCGTGGACTTACCGAAACAGGATGTGTGGCTCATCGGTTCAAGGGTCAAGGCCAACCAGCAGTTTCAGAAGATATGGTTGATGTAATAAGAGAAATGTTCATGACAAGTCCTACAAAATCCACATCATGAGCAAGTTTGGAGCTGAGAATTCCAAAATCAAGTTTCAAAAGTACTGCGTAAACGTCTCAAGTTCAAACCCTACAAACTGCACTTGCTTCAATCTCTGAAGCCTGATGATCTGAAAAAGCGACAAGAATTTTGCATGGATAATATGCTAAGGCACACGGTGACTGATGATGATTTCTTGTCACAACTGGTTTTCAATGATGAACCACCTTTTCATCTAAGTGGTAAAGTAAATAAACATAAGGTAAGAATCTGGCGACTGGGAAATGCTTATGCCACCCTACAACATGAAAGGGATAGTCCCAAAGTACATGTGTTTTGTGCAGTGAGTGCCTCGAATGTTTTCGGCCTATTTTTCTTCGCTGAAAAATTTTTTACAGGAATTATTTACATGGACATGTTACAGATTTTCCTGATGTCAATCATCAATGAAAAGATGCCAGGTGGTTTCATTTTTCAACAGGACAGCGCGTCTCATCACTACAACAATGACGTTATACCTTATCTCAATGCTTGAGGTACCATTTTGGATTGGTCGTGAATGTGTTATTCAGTGTCCACCACAATCACCAGATCTACAACTGCTGGATTTCAGTGTATAGAGTTTTGTAAAGAATCAAGTGTACACTCCGCTGTGGCAAGAAATGCTTTACAGATGGGAGATTTGTAGAGTAACGAAAGTAAGTCACATCGAATATTTGTGATAAAGGTAAACTTGGACTACTTCTCTATCTTAAAACAATATGTACTTTAATTTTTTTTCCTGTAAATTAATTTCAAATAAATTATTCTTTTTGCCCAACTAATTTGTAGACACTCTGTATTATATCTACTGTAAACATAACAGAATTACTGTAAGCATAATAAACTTTTAAAGAGAAGCTCCTAGAATTTCACTTTCTCTCATACACACATCCATGCAAAGAAAGCAATGAAACCAAAAAATACAACTTACTTCTGCATATCTTTGGTGATATAAGTGATTATGAGGATTAAAAAGAATGAGTTCTTCTAAACAAAAAGCTGCTTTATTGTAGTCCTGTTCAGCTAAGTATAAGTCTGAAAGCTCCATCCATGCTTCATGATCACTCATAAACCTATTTCAGGCACAGAATGTAAAATCAATATACATCCAAAAAACTTCATAATTTTATTTACACTAATAATTTGATAACATAATCATTTTTAAAACAATCTGCCATCTCTTGAAACAATAAACAAACACATACAAGGAAAAGCTCACAGTTAGAAAGTGTCTACATGTGTAAGGTTCTTGTAAGCATGTTTTTAAAACACAGCTACAAAACAGGGTAATCTTCTGTTATCAGCATTGGATTAAAAAATGTATGTACGTACAGCGGCTCAGAAAAGTGTTCAGACACTTAAAACGAGTTTATATGAAATATTGCTTCATTCATTAATGAAAATTAATATTTGAGGATGAGAAATTTTTTAATAATATCTATAAATTTACAAATATCTATAAATTAAAATAAAAAAATACATGAATTATTTATGAACATAGTAAAACTTTTTTTTTTTGAAAATCAATAATCAAAAAGTAGCAGAAATATACCCCCACAAAAGTTTTTGTACACTTTAAAGAAATCTGCACATATTAGTAATATTTCTGTTAGTTAGTATAATGTAGGATATCCTGCAGTACTTAGGACAGCTTTCAAATGTCTGGGCATAGAGTTCACCACCTTTTTTTTTTTTTTTTTTTTTAAATATATACATCAATGTTCTCCCATTCTTCCAGCATCCCTGTTTTTAGTTCACCTTATGTTTATATGTTGTGCCTTCATATCCTAACCTGTAATTCTCTCCATATGCATTCTATTGGGTTTTAATCCAGTGACTGAGGTTTAGAACTTGTGGATAATTATGGAAGACACACCAAAGGCGAATATTGAGGGTTAATTGCTTAGGAAAATTATCGTGATTAAAGAAAAAAAAAAGTTGTTTTCAATATCCAAATTTGGGGAAGATAATTTTAAATTAGCTTTTAAAATATTTAAATAAAGAGCATGGTGCATTATGCCCTCAATATATACTAAACTATTTAACTCTGATGCTGACATGCACCCCTGCACAAGGATACCTCCATCGCCATGCTTTATTGTACCAACCAAAGTCCTAGGATTATGCTCCTCATTTTTTCTTCTCCATAAAATTATATGCCCATCAGAACTAAAAATGCTAAATTTGCTTTCATTTTCAAATCAAACATGGTTTCAATACACTTTGGGCTTATTTACCATTGTTTTTGAGAAAGAAAGAATAAACTTTTTCCTTTATCTTTTTATTTTTTCACTTATAAAAAATTTTCTTCGAGCAAAGTGCCCACGTAATCCAATTGATTTGAGTACCTGTCAAATAGTTTTACATAAAATTGAAGTAGAAAATTTTTCAGTAAATTCTGTAGACGTTACAGCACTTAAACATGGATTGTTCGCAAATTTTTTAACTATAAATCACTGACCACATTGAATTAGCTTTGCTGGACGACGTCTTCTTACATAATTTTCTATCCGATTTTCTTTTTTTAAAGCGTTTTATCACATACTGCACCTCAGAATGGGATAAATTTATTAATTTAGCGATATTCTGGATCTATTTTTTACCCTTCTGATGAAAACTGATCAATTTTCGAGTGACATTCGTTGTTTCCTTACAACTATGACAAATTTGTAAGCAAGCAAAGAATAAAGCCAAACAAATTTTTAAACATCAAAATAAAAAAAAAAAAATTTATTTATGAAATTTTACTAAAATGTTTCAATGTACAATCACTTTTGTGGCTTATTTTATCTATGATGCCTTATATTTTCAATTTTAGAAAAAGAAAATAGGTCATTATTAAAAAAAGAAAACTTTAGTTTTATTCAAAATGGCATGGAAATGATATGAAAAAATATTGGGCTTTATATTCGAAATTAATTTCCAGCTACACCAGTTTTCCTACAAATTCTCAAAGTGTCCAAACACTTTTGAAAGTCACTGTAGGTACATGTGCGTGTATAAATGTAAGTATATGTGTGTGTGTGTGTGTCTACACACAGATACATACGTATATACACATATACATGCAAGGCATACATACATTTCTGAATCTGATCCCGATAGCAGAAGAGTACCAAAAATTCATATTTAAAAAAATTCTGCCCTGTTTATATTTAAGGATTCCCTTTTTCCTTGTTAATTGAGTACACATATGCAGAAAATTTGATAAATCATGAACGCATATTGGAAATGCTAAACATTTCATTTCCGTATGGGAAATCAATGCATGTACAAAGACAGATAACTTGATGAAATTAATCAAAATCGTTTATGTGAAAAAAATAGTTCCACTGAACTATTTATTCTCACATCAACATCACTGAGAAAGTTAAGACTTAATTAAATATGTACCTAATTTTGTAAAAATTAAATAAACTGGAAATAATAATATTTAAAAAATTTCTACATTTGTCATGTCTTTTTTAATTTCATTTTATCTATTTTATCATTTTTTAAAAAATTTTAAGCGAATCTAAAGAAACCTCTCTGATGGGCTTATCACTTTCGGTTTGCAAATTTCGTGCCATGGCAAAACAGAAAGTACCAGCACATGAGAGAAATATTTTTGCAAGCGCTTCCCATGAGCAATGCAGTAAAATAAGTATGCAACTATGTCTTGAATAATAACTAACACTTTTCTTCACTAAATAAGTGCACTAACTGTACATATGGCTTTAATTTATGATAATATTGCAACAATTTTTTTTTTTTTTTTTTTTACCATTTTGAACAGCTCATTTTAATATAAGATTTTATATTCCATATCTAATTTCTGAGAGATCAATCATTTCAAACTAAAAGGCCTACCATGGCTGCTCAGTTCAAAATTTGTTAAATATTAAAATGAAATCTGCAAATCAAAATTAGATTGCATTTTACATTATATTTTACGCTTTTCTTTAAAGGTTTAATACGCTCATTGCTACAAATGGTAGTGGTGGGGACATGAGCTTGATTAAAACATAATGAATTTGTAAGAAGTTCATAAACCTTCTAAATCCTAAAATACAAATTATGAAGATATGACAATAAAGAACACAGTAGTTTATATCAATCCATTTATATTAGAGCGGCATTGAAATGGTTTAACCAAACATTCAACAAAAAAAAAAAATTTTTTTTCCCCTGATATCTGCTCTACTTTTTAAAATAATATATATTATATATACCAACTTTTTTAAATACTCTGTTAATTCCTTTATAGCTTCAGGAATTTTATTCTGAGACTTCAAAACAGCAACCTTTCTTTTATAAATTACAGAATTTGCTTCATCATGCTGAAGTATCGAGTCATACAATTTCAGAGCATCGTCAAACCTGAAACAAAACACAAACAGTTTAGTAGAAGAAAATCTTGAATCAGATTCAACAATACAACAAAAGACAGTATAAAATTACAAGACAAAAACATTCAGATCATTGATTGGAAGTAATTATTTAGAAACATTCAGATAGGAGAGAATGTTTGACTGAAAATACAGAATTTTCAATGAAACTATTTAATTATCAGAATGGTACGATACTTTTATCCAACCATGTATTTTGTTGCCCCTTGGTTATACAGTCAAAAGTCGTTTATTCGGACACCCATAATCCGGAATGATCTATAATCCGGACCTCAAAGCTACAAACTTTCTGCACATGCGTCTCATTGACGCATGCGCATAAGACCTTTACGGCTGCAAATATGCTTGTGTGCGTGCACAAAATACGTTTATGAGTGCGCATTTAATGTATAATGAACGGTATAAGCTAAGCTAAAATTATCTAATTATCTATTTCAGTTAATGTTGCAGATTGTGTTGTTCCTTAATCTTCTAATTAGGATACGGCTTATTATTTTTTTTGCAGACTGTTAGAGCAATTTTAATAAAAGTAAGCTTGGAACTTTCGATTATGTCAAATAGAATTTCTGATATATATTTAGTAATATGTAAAGGATCTACAAAGCGAAAGTATGTTTCGAAGTTCATTAAACAAAAAGTGGAATTGCTGCTAGAAATGGATAAAGGCATATCCTTTGTTCATCTAAACTTTGTTTATCTTTAACGCCGTGGCACGCAATGAATTGGAAGTTGATCTGTCAGCGCTATCCTTATCTTCAGGGCAGATGTTTTTATTTTATTTGGCTTATAATTCCTTACTAAATGTAGTATTTCATCTCGATGTACTCCGTCTTTGATATGATTTAAATCAAATTCCTAGTCATTATAATTCGCTTCCAATAGTGAAGAAAGTGACAGAGGTTATTGAAAACGAAAAAATTTCGATTGACAAATTAGTTGGTAGACACAGCAATTATAGGACTTGAACAGTGGAACTTTGTAACTGAACAAGAAATTATGTCTGTTTATAGAATTAAAGAGAATGTATTATCACATAAGAAACGAAGCAACTTAAACAACTTACGTTGAAAGAAATGTTTAATAAAGTAAACAAATAAATATTAAGCTTTTTTTTTTTTTTTTTTTGTAAATTTTGATACCCTTTAGATCAAAATGCTCTTTATTTCATAAATTACGGTTTTATATTTTTAATTTTATAACTTCTGCATGCCATCTTACCAGATTTAACCCCTTCGCGCCAACTGTCACGTATACGTGCCAGCAACGAACACACTTACCTACCGGCCGACACGCAGGCGTGCCAGAGGATTTTTGCGTTTACTACCGACTGTCACGTATTTGTGCCAGTACCCTGGAACGTTTTTCAAACTATAATTTCTGCCACAAGATGGCACTATATGTCCATATGGTTTCAGATACATGTACATTAGACCTTCTACTTTAAACGAGAGAAGCATGACTCACATACACGTGTTTTTGATTATATAAACAAATGGGGAACTAAATGTTTCCGAATGGCGTGATTTATGATGTCTCTTTAAATCGCACGTGGTAGTTGTTATTGTAAGTAGAAGTTTTATATGCGCTAAAGCGTTGAATATTTCGGTTTACAGTTCAGTTTTTAGAAATAATAGATCTTGTTAGACGTGAATTCTTTCTGTTTTTTCTGTTTTTACCGTTTCAATGTCGAAGCGTCGAAAATGTTTAACAGAGCATGAAATAGCAGAAATGATGCAAAATATTTCAGATATTGATTCTGAAATTCTGATATTCTGATACTGATTCTGAAAGATTAACTGAAAGACATTTTCCAAAACTTTGTTCAGAAGAGACTGATAAAAACGACGACGATGCTTCGTTTTGTTCACATGCCCTCCCGGAAAAATCCTCCAAAATGGCAAATGAGTTATTACGAGTTCAAGAATGTAACGTAGGACTGTGTGTAGATCCCTGTTTTCAAATTTTTCATACGAAAAGAGAATTTTAAGTAATATATTAGTTTTCAGATGTATAATGTTGTTAAAAGTCATAAAATGGTGAGTAATGAAAATAAAATGTGTAAAATAGCATTTAAACAAGAAATAAGGTAATTAAAGTATATATATATATATAAATATCTATAAAGCATAAGCCGTTTAAATACTCTATAGAGCATTATTAAACAATGCGTTGATACTTCGGAAATTTCATGGATTTAGGCTTAGTAGCAAAAAGCCCCCGGCCCTGGAGAGACGCTCGCGGAAGACACTGCCGGCCTCCGCGATAAGCGCGCGTTTTCGCAACCCGGCTCGAAGGGGTTAAACTGATGATCTATAATCCGGAAAAATCGATAATCTGGAATCGCCAAAGTCCCGACGAGTCCGGATTAACGATTTTTGACTGTATATTACCTTGCTGTTAAAATGTCTCGTTTCCTTATTTTCTTTAACTGTTTAGATGTCATATTGACAAATGGAAGGTTATGAATGAAAAGAATACTGTTACTATATACAATATGGCAAAAGCCCGAAGTTTACCATTTTGCAAAATAGACAGCTAATAGAATCACAGACTAAAAAATACAATAATTCGTTATTATTTAAGGCTCTGCCCAGCCACTTTATAAATTGGTCACGTGAATTGTCTTCATTCTTATTTTAATGATTTTTCAAAAAACCGATACTTTAGATGGGTGAAAGTTGAATTTCCTGTTTAAAGATGTAACTTAAAAGCTGCATTTTTATTAGTATCATCATCCGTATATAATTAGAAATCTCTATGACGATTTCTCTGCACCACAAAACAAGATAAAAAAAATAAGCAGTGCTTCTAAAAGTGTAAAAACAACTTTAAAATAGATTTAAAAAATTTTATTATTACTATGATGTCTTTTGACACCAGGAATGTCCTTATGAGAGTTTTCCTGAAATTTTCAAATGTTACATTATATTATTATGTACTTGCCATTTACTTGCTTTGGTAACTCTTGTCATGGCAACAAATACTGCTCTATAATGCCTGCTTTGGAAAGTATGAGCATCATACTCTCCAAATGATGACTGTCTATCCATAGCTTATGCCCCTCTGGCAGCCAAGGGTAAAGTTAGCGAACACTGGTCACGTTTGCATGGATGTTTTTACAGCTTTCCCCTTTTGTGACATGTATACAAGATAGCTTCCTATGCAGAATCCTTTCTGTGCTTTGCCATAGTCAAATAAAAAAAGCCATCCATAGTCTACCAGTGACCAATAGCCTCAAAGCAATCAGAAATTCCCAAAGAGATTTCTATTTATGTATTAATAGTAAAAATGTAGTTTTTTTTTTTTTTTTTTTTTTTTTTTAATTACATCATCATTAAACAGAAACATGCCTTTTATCCACCATCAACATCAGCTATGTAAAAAATCCTTAGATCAGATATCAAGTTCATTTCTAACTTTGTTCAGTTTCTCTTAGCCAACTCACAAAGAGGCTGGCCAAATTTGAAAGTAATTATAAATAGCTGAATATTTCGAGCTAGCAATTTGGCCAGATCTGCCTGCCAAATCTACAATTTGGGCCTTGGTCTAACATATAAAGTAATATGATAACAAAATGCTGTTTAAATACAACTCATCCACAGCATGTGCAAAATGATTTTGCCAGTGAATGGTTAATCTTTGCCACTTGTGTTCACTTCCTCTTAATTATAGAGAAAATTCCAATATATATTTTAATGCAGGGAAAAATTAATTATTTCATTTTTGTTAAAAACGAGTCATCAAATTATGGGCCTCTGTTATTTAAAAAATTCATATATTGGTGCACTATTACAAAATATACTCAAATATGAAAATTTTAATCAGTTCTTGATTTAATTATGATGAGGGTTCCAGGTTCTGATGGCCAAATTGAAGTACAGCTATTTACACTTATGGTGTCCCAAACCATTTAATTCACCCTGTTAAACAGTATTAAAAAATGCTTAAAAAGTCTATGCAGGTTTTACAGAAGGCAAAGAAACAAAGATTAATGCATATTTTTAATCTATGCAACTCTAGAAAATAAATATTATATAATGAATTAAATATTATGAAAGAAATAAAAATAAGTATTATGAAATTTAAAGGTAACATTGGTTAAATATCAAAAAAAAAATTTATGAAAAGCTAAAAAACTGTAGAGATCAAGTAAAACTTTCTTTTATAAATTTCATGATGACATCTTAATTTTAAAAAGGACAGATGTACACAGAAATAGCCAAATCAATTTACATCAAATCAAACAAATGCGTCCAGGCAGTATAGTGGTTAGGGGAGCCTACTACGGTACCGAAAGGCCCGGGTTCGAATCCCGGGGAAGACATGGATGTTTGTAAATGTATAGTGTCGGTGCGGCATGGCAACATTCTAAATATGCGGCGAGCCAAAAGTCCTCTCACGTGGATGGACATTGGTGGGAGACCCCCGAATCCCCCCCAGGGCACTTTTCCTCAAAATTGCGGCTGGAAAATTACAAGTCCAATTCTGTGCAATTCTTTCAATTTTTTTTATTACTGAGGGAAGTAAATCTAAACACAAATATAAAAAGCAGGGTAATAGTGAAAATAAATATTTCACAAAATTATAAATTTCCCCAGTGAGTTATTTTTAAAATAATATTTACCTTTCTAGTGCTTCAAATTCCATTGCTCTCAGCTTACGTACTCTTAAGCTTCCTGGAAACTGGTAATCAAGAGCTTGTAGGCATTCCTTTAAATAAATAATATCCAATGATGCAGCAGAGAAAGTAAAATACTTTTTTGCAACAAAGTAATTACATTCTGACAGCATAAATAAATAAAAAATTGTACAAACTCGATTAACGTACTTTAATAAGTTCGATTTGAACAACACTAAAAAAATTCAGTTACAAAAAATTTAAGTTAATGGGATCGTTGTCAAATTGTGCTTGAACACCACTTAAAACTCTACACAAATATCTATGCAATTAAATTTAACAAACAAAACAAAAATTGCACACTTTGATGACAATTATTCAGACAAACAAAAAGTCTTGAAATCCTAGTTTTTATTTGATGATGATGATAAATGTTGATGAAATGTTTTTATTGCATTTGGTGATATTATTTCTTTATTCAATAATAAGAAAGTTCCTTAAAAACATTGTAAACAGAGTAACAAAAATAATGCTCTAAAGATGATATTTTCCAGCTTCTCAACTTAAATGTGCATACACTTGCATTAGAAACTTGAAAATGCATGGGATTTGAGAATATTCCAAACATAAAACTCAGTGTTTCATATATTTTTTATAATGAAATACATGTATGTGTTTTACTAAATTATTTGAAACAAAACTGTCAAATAAATTTTTAAATATTTTCCTTACCTAGCTCATATGATGATTTTGGTTTAATTTTACATGCTATAAATATGTACTTAACAGTCCATACATAGTTGGTCAAAGATACTTACTTCATAAAATGAAACAACTTTTATATGAAAATATTCACTATGTAAACTGGAAATGCGTAATTCAGACATTATATTGTTCTTGATATTCCTATAGGAATCTTAAGTCATACTTACACAAAATTGCATACATTCAATCAGATTGTATACTTACATCACGTCCAACAGATCAAAGACATATTCAACAAAACTTTTAACAGCCAGATTTTCCTGACTTATATTTTAACTGCATATATTGAAAAGAATAATATTAAACAATTAATCTAAAATGACAGTTCTACAAAAATAATCACGCTAATCCTCACACACGAGCAAGATTAATTCTTGCCAAAGCTATTTCATTTTTTATATGAGCAAAATTACACTTTGTTAATTTTATAATATTCGTTAGGCAAACCATTAGATGCAAGTTTAGAAAAATCACTTCTTTAAATGGTTTAATTTTTATAAACACTAATAATAAAGCACTTCTGCAGTACATTAGTATCGACTTACATATTGCCAAAAATACCATCCAACTCCAACTCCTGCAAGCAATCAAGCAGTTCTAAAAGTTGTTCCTGATGTTGGCAAGATTTTTTTAATTCTTTTCTTTGTTACTCTTCCCTCCCCCCAAAAAAGGTGGGGATGGCTTCTATTTTTAGTTTTAACATCAACTCTCTGCATATCCACACAGTGTCTTTTTTTTTGGGGGGGGGGATATTTTTTTTCCCTCAGAAACATCTTGGAATAATACTGTTTCATCTAGCTTTAATTTCTACTACATTTTGCATTGTGTATTTACGAGATTTGTTAAGCAATGAAGCAGAAACAATCCACTATTTACAGGCTAACAGTATTTTGCCAAAAAAATCACAACTCGTTCCAAATGCATTTCAAATTCCATTTTTCATGCCATGAAACTGAATGTGATTAAAATATATGTCTACGAAACAGATGATAAAGTATTACAATAAGAATTAAGAATCAGTTCTATGAAAGTCCTTTATTTATTTATTTACTTAGCAGAGTTCATACAGACGCAAAGAACTGCTTCTACAGAAATCATTTATTTATTTATTTAACAAAATTCACATGAAGGAGAAAAATAATCTGATGTGGTTTTGAATGTAATTGCCAAACAATATCTATTGGAAATCGCTACCTGTTTCATCCGTTTTTCTGATACTGAAAACACATTTCATCCCAAGTAACCAGTTGTCTGGGTACTTATGTATTAGCACTTGGTGCAGTTTGAAAATTTATCACACATGAAAAAAAAAAAAAAAAAAAAATGACCGGGTGAATTTTTGGACTGCAACTCACAATGGATATGGTTACCTGAAGAATTATTATGTACACCGTTGCCAGAGTTCATGGAATTCTGAAAATTTGGCGACTTCTATTAAGATGGTTTATAATATTTAAGTACCATTGTTTGTTGGCAGTAACTTGATTAGTACCAGCTAATACATAAGTTCTAAAAAATCTAAGAAAACCAGAACATATCCAAGGATACGAAATACATTCATACCTGAGCTATGTCTAAACGGTGACAGTCTAATGCTGCTAGGCATACTTGTTCATAAATAAGCCATTCTGAAAAAGTGAAAACAAAATTCAGACACTCATTTTCTTACAAAGGTAAACTTTAAAATTGCATATACAATTACGCTTTTATAATAAATTTTTAATAGACTAGTAACACACTGACTTATGCAATAAACATTCAAATGTATTGTCTAAAATATTTTTAAAAAAAGGACTCAATTAAAAAAAGTCTATGTCTTTATCAATCAGATTTTCAGTCATAAGAAATTCAGCATAAATTAAGATTACGCCAATGTATTTTAGTACATTCTTTTCAAAGCACATTAATTATGCTGCATTGAAAAGATAATCAACAGCTCAATTCCATATAATAAAGTAGGGTATATTTTAAAGGAAACAATAGAAAATGTATTAATAATCATTCCCACTAGTTATCATCTGACATCTTTTTAAGTATTGGTTTAAAAATTTCATCTAAACATTTTTCTGCAAACATGTTGTACATATATAACACTTTAAATAAAAGGCATTAAAAAAAGAAAGAAACAAAGAAAACAAAAAAAGGAACTGCCACTTAAAAATTTAGAACACTTCAAGGAAGAGTTTAATAAAATATTTTAATATTAAAACTACAGGTTCTTGTCAGTTTTACAGGCAACTTGTAATTAATCATCAAGTTTGGCAGCATTATTGCAAATGGCATAGATATCCAAAGACCAAAGCCAGGTTATAAAAACTGAAATCGTCCTGTCATCACCTAAATTCAAAATGACAATTTTCAATTTCCTATCAAGTGAAAATGAAGCTGTTGCATTCTTCCTAGAAAAGAATATTGTACCCTCCAACCTGATTTGTGACAACAGGCAAGAAACATAGTAATATACCAAAACTACATGGAAATGAAATGTACGAAACTATCAGAAAAAGAAAAGCCTCCATATTAGAACTGGTTTTCTGCTTCACAAAATAGTATGCTTGATAGCTATAAGAGTTATACGGTATTGGTCAGAAGATATGGTGACTAAACATAGAAACATTTTCTTCTTGGTGTTTTGGTTACAGGTGATACCAAGAAGCAGCAAATTAAAAACAAATTAACAGCAAATTAACTTTTCATTAATTACAGTAGAAATTATATTATAATTAAATGCATTTATGTCAATTAGCTATATTATGTTAAAAAAATAAAATAACAATTTAAATTAAGTTGTGCATTTACTGCTTTTATTTAACCAATAATAGACTGATTAAACTCAAAAGGTAAATTAAAGATCTACAGCTTTGTCAAATGGCACTGCTTTGAGAGAATTGGCTATGCAAGAAACACTCATTTCATAAAAATTAATTTCACATTATGGTAAATTTAGGACTTGGAAATGTAAGACATTGATTTGTTTAGGACAGTAGAGACCAACTTTCATTAGCACACTGGCATCAGAAACCACACTTTCAAATATTTAAAATTAATTTTGAAATAATTATTATTATGTTAATTTACAAATCTGAAAACATTTTACAATCTGTTATTTTACAAATCCTACAAAGTGGTGTTTAATTCAAATTATTTTTTATAAACAGGTTTCAAGATAGCATCAATACAAAATGCAAGATTATGCACATAAGAATTTCAAAATCCTATCTTGATTACATTTTTCAGCAACGCAATACAATTAATAAGAATACTGTGACCACTCAGACAAAGAATGAATTCACCAAAATCAGTAAAGTCTTAAAGGAAATCCTAAGATGCTTAAACTATGAAAATATAACATTCAGAAATGCATGGCCAATAAAAATAAATTACATTAATCTAATGGCACACTATACCCCCCCCCCCACACACACACAAAAAAGCTCATGGAATGCAATGCAACCTGGTGCCTGCATTTGGTTGTGAAAATAAAATATTTTAGTCTAATGGTGAAATTTAACATTCTGATAATTGTCTCTTAATATCTATTTGATGGATTTTCTTTTTGGGTTCCGGTAGGGATTGACTGTCTTACAGAATAATATTAAAATAATTATCAATATCAGTATTTATTACATCTTATATACATTATACTTTCAAAGATACTTGCTGCTTATGGGATAGGGCTACCATAAGATGGTAACAGGGTTCACTTGACACACTTAAGTGCATTTTAAATTTAAAATCAAGATAATCAGTAGTTTTAAAATTAATGATTTATGAACATGAAGCAATAGAAGTATCGATCTTCATTTCAATGACATGGAATTAAGCATTATTCAGACAAAGACTAAATAATCATCTCAAATTTTGTTTAATAATAAATGATTTACATACTTTCATCACCAACTTTGTTTATAGTATTTGCTAAAACATCTTGCCAGATTTCGATCACTTCTTCAGAGCATCGCAAATTATCATCACGCCACTGCCGTAATGTGTCACGTGCATCTAACACACAAAATTTTCATAAATTATAAAATCCACAACAAAATAATAGATTAAACTTAAACGGCAATAATATATTTTTTTCTATATTCAGTGCACTATACATCATGAAACAAAATCTGATACTTAAAAAAAAAAAAAAAAAAAAAAAAAAAAAATTAAAAAAGTGTTTAGTTAACAAATAAAAGAAAATAAAAATTAATATGCCGTCATGTAAAAACAATTTCACAAGCAAGCACTTTATCCTACATATCACACTTTTTAAAATACTAATTTTTTTAATAATAAATTAAATAGATTAATACTGATCTCAAAAATCAAACTTCACCAACTTTTAAAATTCAAGTCCACATACATTTATCAGGTATGTTTTTGTTGTTGGGGTAGATTGGGATGATCCGTTACCATTGGACGAAGTAATGTCGCAGAATTTTTACATCCTGAATCGCCGACAGTTGTTACTGTTGTTTTAACTATTACATACTTTCGTTAATTTTAAATCCTCATTAATAATGAAATACAGCATGAAAATAATTTGTGATCGAAACCAACTTTTAAATACATTATCAAATCCACCAATTCTTACCTACCCATCCCAGAAAAAATTAAATAATAAGAAATGAGAGCAATCAAATTTTACAATGTATCATATTGGATAGAGTAGACTTTAAGGTACCCCTTGTATTATGGTGAAGTTTTTGTTTGACTTATCGCCAAGTTGTTGTTTTATTTTTGGTAGCCTGAGTAGTTGAATGCTATGGAAACCCTACTGTGACATAATCGGTGCATGATTCTGGGAAATTTTTAATCATGGGATGTTTTGTAAGCATTTTGTGATGTTAAAACCGTTTACAGGATTTGAATGGGTTGTAGGAAGAAAGGTTCAGATGGTCACTATGTGAAGTGTTCAATCAGAAAGAGTGCTGGTTTTGAAAAAAGTTATTTGAGTACGATTGATATTTTGATTTTTACGTGGCTGTGGATGTACGAAGCGAACTCGAAAATCATGGTAAGTGAATATTTGCTTTTGGTAGTGCTTAAATGTATAACATGTTTTTTCTTTTTTATGTTATTTTATTGTTTGGTTTAAAATGTATTTTATTGAGATTATATATTTTTTGTTTGCCTATATTGTAGAATTTGGTGCTCCTTTGACTTTTTAAGTGAAAATATATCGATGTGTACATAGACAAAGTAAAGGGAGTTTGTGCAATTCTGGGATTTTTTTTAAGTGAGAATAGGTTGATATGTACAAAGTTAAAAGAGTGCGCAATGCCATTTTTGTGCAATTCGAGGATTCTTTTTTAAGTGAAAATAGGTTGACGTATACATGGATAAAGTCAAAGGAGTGCGCAATGCCATTTTTGTGCAATTCGAGGTTTTTTTTTTAAGTGAAAATAAGTTGATGTGTACATGGATACCGAGTTTATGCAATTGTTTGTCTTGTTATTTTGGCTTTGTGTAGCGGCAATTTTTGGTGCAAAAATCGCCGCTTCACAAGCCAAAATAACGAGTCAAAGAACTGCACAAAATCGGTATCCATGTACCGTCAAAAATTGCCAAGGGGTACCCTAAACTATACTTTTACCAACATATTTTGTTATTTAATAGATATCAACAGTTGCATTAAAATGTTTAAATATTTAATAATATTTTATAAAAACTACTCTTAATGTTATAGGACATATCTAAACATAAAATGATTCTGAAAATATATTTTTAAGTGAAATATTATTCAAGGTTACTAAGACCAACTACCCCCCTTTTTTTTTCTTTTTTAAGGAACATCACATTACAAATCAAACGAATAGATGAATTTCTAAATGTTTTCACCAATATTCTGAAAGCAAATCAAATGAATTTTCTAAATGTCTGGGACAAGGCTATGATGCAGCTAGTAACATCAGCAAAATATGTACCAGAGAGCAGAATTATACAAAGCAAATTCAAAAATAAACAAGAAAAGAAAAATTTGAATGAGCTATATATGAATACAAATTTGCAGAGACATAGCTGAGGTTTTCAGCGCCTCGGGACAGCTGAAGATTTTGCACCCCTTTCTGTGTGCTAAGAATAGAAAACCTTTCATTCTAAAATTTCATAACATCAATTTGGCGTCCCCTGGATGCTGCGCCTGGGGACAGATGTCTTCCCTTACATCACTCTAGCTACGCCACTGCAAATTTGAAAATCCTATAAAGCTGCATATATTTTATGCTTCTTTCAATATTCTGAATGCTCAGTCAAGATATAAAATGAATGAAACATGTTCTGAATGGGATGAAATCTTCAAAACATTTGCATTTTTTAAAATTCAGTCATTATTCAAAAAGTTCAAAGCTACGAAATATGTAGAGATTTACTAATGAAATGACTACAGAGTTATTAGTTAAGAACACTTTCAAAACAGAAATTCTGCAGTTCATTCAAAATTAAAGTAAATTAGATGCGATAAAATACTTTGAGATGGCAACAAATAATTCCGAATTGTGTTGCTTCTTTAAATTATATCTACATGCAGGTGTCACTTTGGCCCCTCGTGAGATATCAATCTCAAAAACGAAATTCATAAAATTGTAATTGAGAAAAAGTATAATGCAGATTAATTGCTAAATTTTTAAATGCTGAGTTAATGCTTTAAATGTTGCATTTTCAAATGGCTCAGAAAATAGTCAAGAACTGATTAATAATTTTGCAGTAATAATAAATAACACAAAAACAATCAGAATCCTCCACTGCTTGGCACGTTTTTAAGAATTGCACAAACTCAGTATCCATGTACACATCGACCTATTTTAACTTTAAAAAAATCCCAGAATTGCACAAAAATGGCTTTATGCACTCCCTTGATTTTTATCCATGTACATATTGACCTATTTTCACTTAAAAAGTCAAGCAAAATTGACAAAAATCCAATTCTTCTTGATTCTGAACTTCAGCCACATTTTTATACCCATAAAAAAAAATACAATGCACACTTTCTTAACAAAAATTAAACATCTAAATTATTTTCAATTGCCTGTAGAACAAACTTTTTTTTTTAAATTGAAATAACACTAAGAAATATATTTCATTTCAGCTTAAGACCTAAAATTAGACCTATAATATTTTTTTAGTACACAAAAATTAAGCATAGAAATTACTTTTTATTTTCATAAACAAACACTACATATTTCTGGTTAATTAAAACTGTACCATATTTTAATGATATAAAATTTTAAAATTACTCACAAAGACCAAATTGCGGCTTATAGAATAACAGACCTACTGTCTAACCACACTAGTGAGAGCAGTTTGTTTGAGAGCCAAGATGGGTCAGTTTAATTGAAGGGGTGTAGGTGAAAAGCAAGGGTATTTTTCCCTCTCGGATGTCGTAGCGGTTGTAACAGTTTTAACATCGTTATTAATCTCTCGTGCACTTGAAATAGATGAATAATAAATAATGTACAGGTTACTGGCAATACTGAAATGCAGGCTCGAGAGCTGCATGCATTTTCTCGCACGAAGCGTGTAATTATTTTTTTTAAATAAGTTTTTATACCTTTTCTTCTCATGCTTGTATGTCATGTTTTTTTTTTTTTTTTTTTTTTTTTTTTTTTTTTTTAGTGTTAAATAAAAGTTATTGCTGTGTTCCAGCATTGGAGTTTACTTCAAATTGTTTAAGAAGTATCAGAGGGTGTGGGTGAAAAGCGCAGGTATTTTTTCCTCTCAGAGGTCAGGGGTAATTTAGTACTTTTCCTTACAATCATTGAGCATCGCTGTAACTTACCACCTTTTACTTTAAAATCTTTGGAATATGGTAACAGGTAGTTCGGCGACATTTTGGTAGGCGATAAAGGTTACTACCTAGGACTTTGGGAATAATGTGAGAAATACTCAGTTCCGATTACGCATTATTTTGTGTGAGGGAAATGAGAGATCATGAGATATGTCATGTGACATTAATGGACGAATTACAGTTTCTTTAATCGGAAAACGGGAGAATCTGGAATTGCGTTTAGCATTTTGTATTTAGCTTCATAGTGTGTTGTGTGAAACAGTGTTGATTAATTTTTGGATCCCATGGCCCTATGTAAAGTGAATTCGAAATGGGTATTTAGTGGGATTGAAAGGGGTAGTAATAAGTGTTTTTTTAAGGTTGCGTGAGATAGACGTAAAGATTGCTTATTAAGTTTTATTAAGCAGTATATTCTACCTGGTACAAGAATATCTGATTGCTGGAAGTCATATGTCTGTTTGGAGGATGAAGGTTTTCAACATCTTGCTATGAACCATAAGTATGATTTTAAACATCCTGAAACAAGCGCACATACGATTGCTTTTTATTTAGCGGAGGAAATAAGAAAAGTTTATCCACCACGTAATCAAGATTCTGAAGAAGATTAGGTAAGTTAGTATTTTTAATTATTTGAGGATATTATTTTATGCATTGTTCTAAATTAAGGAGTAAATAAATTATATGGTATTATTGGAAATTGTTATTAGCAATGATTTAGTTTAAAGTAATTAGGACTGTATGCTAATTTTTATTAATTTAATGTATGTGCTTATTTATATTTTAAGTAGTGTTTTTTTAATTTAATTATATTTTAATTAAATGATAGTTATTTTGTGAATTATATGTTTGTAGCAATTTGGTTCATTGGAAGTAAAACGTGCATGGAAATAATTTAAATATTGAGAAGTATTTGCAACCATTTTTAATGTTTGCGTTAAATTCGTTGGTGACGTTTATAATAGATAATTTAGAGGTAAAAGTTTTTGGATATTTTATTTACTTTATACGTGCAAAATGTTCATCCTTGGAAAGGGTTATATACTTTTTCGCGATCAGGTAATTTCATATATGTCCTTTTTTTTACCGAATTTAAAAGATTCACAAAATTTTCATGCATTTTTTGTGAAATTTTTCTAATTTATGAGAAAAAGCAGTGTACATGGATACAGTGAAGAGTGTGCACAATGCCATTTTTGTGATATTCTGGGATGTTTTTTTAAGTAAA